ATAAACTTTTAATCTCACCAGGAACAAAGGCCCAAGTGAGCACATAGCCAATGACTTTCATTTTTTTGTCAGAGTGAGTATGGTGTCATGCCACTTTATGAGCAAAATTCAAACAATATTATGATGGGTGACACCAAGCAATGTACCGATGTGGTGAATCGAATGCTTCAACCACTAGGCTAAAACAAACTGGGAATATGAAGATGATATGTAAGGATACCATCATACCAGGACTGAATGCTTTTCATTTAATACGCTGAACATCTAAATTGAAATATATATGAACTTGAAAAATGTTTTCACCAAAAGTACATGCCCATAGATCTCAACTTCAAGGGGCTATTTACAACTAAAATAACACAGAATATTACTACAGCTATCTGCTATGCCCAGGCTAACATTATTTGTTAGGAGAAAGACATCTCGAAAAATTGCATCCGGATACCTGCCGGATACCTGCCGGATACCTTCAGCAATGTTCAATTTTCATGGTTAGTTTCCAATATATTTTTAGGTGTTTCACACTTAATTGAACAAAATGCACCCCCCAAATTGTGACATGTTTTTGGAAACTCGGAATGAGGTATCCGGTGCCGGATCCCTGGACACCCAGATTGAGGTATCCGGTGAGGTATCCGGTGCCGGATACCCGGATTCCAGGTGACATACTTTCCGGTGAGGTGTCCATGCCGGATACCACAGATCTGGTATCCGGCAAGGTATCTGCCACCGGATACCCGGACGCGTTTTGGGTAAGTGTCCGGTGGTATCCGGCAGGTATCCGGATACCGGAAACTGCATTTTTTTTGCTGTGATACGTTTTCTAAGACGAATACTTGCACTATAACGAGGGGTGTGGCATCACACAGAAATTGTAAATACTCCGATCAAGGCTTGTTTTTAAGATAACGTAGTCTTTTTAAATGAATGAGATGTTTTACAGTTGTTCATGTGAAAAAAAACTATGAATGTTTATTCAGCGTCCGAAAAATCATAACACGGGGATATATGTTGTATCAATGTCTTATGTTTTACAAAAGGAAAGTAAGTACAAGGTAAGTTTTTCTCAATATGCTTTAACAAGGGAAAGAGTCAGACATTGCACGTTTGTAGCAGTATTGCTCGCAGACCTGGCGGGGAGCCGGGTGCGCTGAAGCTATTCCCATTTTTTTAAAGTACTGATTTAACTTCGATATCTTACTGCATATGAAGTGGAATATGAAGACTAATACCTGTACTTTTTAGAATAAGAAATTTACACATTGACGTATTCAGATTTAACTGATATTTTGCTTTACTTATATAAATGCGAATTGTGTTTCTTCATATACAATTCCACAAGGCATAAAACTTGCTTAAATCTAAAACAAAATGTACTCTGGTTATTGCGCAAAGAAAATTCAGTACCAATGGAAGTACCAAAGCAATCATTTAACATATCGCAACTCATGCTTGTTAACAATCAACAAAATGACGGTATTAGTAGACACATCGTAGTATTTGAAGTTAAAAAATGATAACTTCATATTTATACTCATACAAAATGAACTCTTATATTTGTACACTAGTTTTACTGAATCGCAAAAGAAACGCGAGTACTGTGTGACTGTGAAATATGGTTAATTCACAAAGCAACAGAGAGGTCAATTATGATAAGTCTGAGACAGTTCATGTTTTGCATGCACATTGACCACAGTCCATGGAACGTTCTTGTAAGTTCTTGCTTTGGGCCGATCACACAAATGGAAATGGTGGGGTGGGAAATGTCAGTACCTCATATGCCCTCCCTGGGTGTTCAACACAGCCATACACCTACGGTACATGGAGTGTAGCAGGCGGTTCACGAAGGCCATAGGCACCTGTGCCCACACCCTGACGAAAGCTGCCTCCAGATCAGCACGAGTTCTTGGTGTTGGTACCACCTGGTTCAGCCGTCTCTGTATTTCATCCCACATGTGCACGATCGGGTTTAAATCCGGGCTCATGGCCGGCCATGACATGGTTTGAATGTTGTGCTGGTGCAGGAAGTTCCTGGTGAGGCTGGCCGTGTGGGGACGCGCGTTGTCCTGCTGGAACACGTGGTTCTGGTGACGTGCGAAGTAGGGAACGATGTAATGTCTCAGGATCTGGTCAATGTAGCGTTGCGCTGTGATGCCATTCCCCCTGCCAGCGCCAATATTGTGAAACACATGAGGGCCAATTCTCTGGTTCAGGCCTATAGCACCCCAAACCATGATGCTCTGACCACTCCACGGGTCTCTTTCCACGACACAATGGTCCGTATAGCGTTCACCCCTCTTCGCCACACCCTCACTCTCCCATCAGACGTGGATCCACAATACCGGCTCTCGTCAGAGAAGACAATTGTCCTCCATTGTTGATGCCGTCAATGTCGGTGTTGTGTAGCCCATTGCAGCCGTGCCTGGCGGTGGCGGGCGGTGAGGATGGGCACTCGAGCAGGCCGACGGCAATACAGGTTGTTGGTAGTCAGCCGACGTCGTACCGTATCGTAACTGATCGGTCGCCCTCTAGTGCCAATGGTGTTTCGAACTGTCACACTGGCTGGTCTGAAGCGATTCCGTAGGTGTTGGCGGTGGATGAACCGATCCTGCCTTGGCGTGGTGACTCGGGGGCGTCCACGTCGGACGCCGTCTGCAGTACTGTTTGTGATGTCAAGCTGCTACAGACGGTGGATGATGCTGACGTGAACATTGAAAGTGTTGGTCACAACCTGGGACCGTTGTCTAGCTTGTAATCGACCGATCGCTTGTTCTCTCTGTTGTGTGGATAATCGAGGCATACCTTCCGCATCAAAATTACGACTGCCACAAAGGGAGTTCAAGTTGTTTTTTATACCCATAGCCTCCATGAGTTACACGTCCATGTTGGTGTCCACGGCAAAGCATGGTAACTGTCACCCACGGCCTTGGACAAGGCTGCGTTGTGCCGACTAATTTCAGGCCTCGTTGTACCGTTCGATGGAATGTTTGTCTCAAAAACGCATCAGGACGTCACAGAATATTCACACAATATACAGTCTTGACATATATTTTCCGCATTGTACCATATAAAATTTATATTTTACAATCTCGCGTTTCTTTTGCGGTTCAGTATGATCGCTTAAGTCATCTGAAAATATATAAGGGGATGAGGAATATAATATATGTCCAATTATAATAATAGTTTAGTAATCCTCTATATCAGGTGACTATTCCAATTATTAATGGTATCAGGAAGGAATGAGTTGGCATAGCATTCTGTTCAGCAACTTGTAGCCTGTAAATTGGTTCGATTTCTTTAAAAGTAATCACTAACAGAAGAGATGTTTTCAAACTCTGTGAAATAGTGTTTTCTTTTGGTTATGTTAGTTTCTCCATAAAGTTCCTCATGACTTGTACCCCTTGTCGCCCCACAATAGTCCGTAATGAATCTAAGTGTAAACTTTCTGGGTTTGATTCTAAGGGTAAAAATATATACAATATTTTGTTGGCTCGACATACTTAGCTCCATAGTTTTAGTTATAATGTAAAAATTATAGTGATTTTGAATTATATTAAAACATTTTTATACATTTATGTATTTGATGTGGGAGGGGTAGCGACACATGCTGTATTTTATAAAAATGATTGTACAATTTGGATTGCTTTAAACCTGTTTCATCAAACAAATATAGGATTTGATGTTGTCATATCGTGACTCAATTTATTTAATATTACTTAATGACTTTGTTGTGTACTAGTCTTGAAGTAAATTTTATTTCTTCCAAATGTTCCATTGCGAACACATATAGAGTCCGCGCTCGTGATTGCCATATCTAAACTTACCTGAGCTCACTGTGTGTTCTGAAGTCAAATCCCTGTTAGGCATCCTGCACGGCTTCGTTCACGTTTACCCTCAAATGTACGATAGAAAAATCTGCGTTCGTGTGTTCAATGTTCGACTGCATTTTTGTGACAGGTGTTCGTTTATTTATTAAAATTCCACAAATTCATAAATCACATTGAGTTGCTCGCCTCTTCTCCAGTTGTGTACACTCTCCAATGATGCTAACTGTCTTGGTTAACTGGAGTCCGGATATAACTAATTACAAACTCTGTTCTAATTATGCTAATCGAGGAAGTGCATTATACCAGATGACAAACTTAGTTTTTCTGTCACACTAATCCTTGTTTACAATGAACGCATCTCAAGTGACCAGCCAAACATCCTTTTTATATACTTAAGCAGAAGTATCACGATGGACAGTGCATACAACTGTTTGTCAAACAATATCAAGCAATATTTTAGATTCAGAATCACCATACCATGACATAACAGAAACATATTTATTAAATTGTGTATATTCATATTTGCCGCTATTCACGATAAATCTATTTTACCGTCACTGTTTAAAACTACCCCAAACTACTTGTATGTATAGATCATCTTATTTGTTAACAGTAGGGCGAACGTATTATATATCTAACTGTTACAGATGTCTGCAGAAATCATCTATTTCTCTATTATGTAAAATGCTGTCAACATGAATAAATGCCAATTATTTCATAACACTACAAATATAGTTGTCATAATGAACATAGTTTTAAAGTATATTTGCCACATGCAATAATACTGTCCGGTATTATTAGTAATATTTTCAATATCAACCACATATTGTGAGAATCCAGTAAGAAAACACTGTGTGAAGCAGTGGTAAAATCTATTCATATGTACAAAATTGTATATTTTTGGATATACCATATATACAAATTTTATATTTTGTAAATATTGGAATTTTCCCTTGTGTTGCATACACGAGGCGTTCCATCGCTGCACATTAATTACATTTCTTATGTTGTTACATTATTCATTGAAAACCACTGTTAAAAGTCTGAGGAATTCAAGTTTACGGCTTGTATCTTTGGAAGCAATTCTAATGTGCATTTTAAGCATGCCACAGGTAACTCGTGTTACAGGTAATTCAGTGTAGACGATAAGTGAAATCTCTCAAATTACCATACCTTTGACAATGCCCTTTATTTCTTGTCGTGTCAGGAACTTGCATCTGTTCTCATCGGTGGTCCCCTAAAAGGAGAATTCAATATAGAGAAAATATGCTTCTCTCGGTGTATACAACACAATCAGAGCTTTCTGATAAGTTACCACGTGGACTGTAGTTGGTATCGATGTGTTCGTCATATTATTTTTTATGTATTGTACTTTGGGTAAGACGCATTGTATGACATTAGATGAGGGCTCATTCATTTGTGCTTGTGTGATTATATATATTTCAATTACATCATTGTATTTTTTCTTTAAATTTAAATTGATAACGATTACATTAATGTAATTACATGGATGTACATTTCTTGTGATATAAATATAGCATGTATAACTGAAATACAATATATATATACATATATATATATAGTGAGTGAGTGAGTATGGTTTTATGCCGCTTTTAGCAATATTCCAGCAATATCACGGCGCGGGACACATTGTACCCGTGTCGGGAATCGGACCCGGATCTTCGGCGTGACGAGCGAACACTTTAACCGCTGAGGGCCCCGACCGTCCATATATATATATATATATATATATATATATAAACTGACGTCCAAAAGAAACTTTACCAACTGAAAAAATAAATTTCAGAAAACGTACAATTTTTTTTCGATGAAGTCTATCTAAAACACATATGCTAAATACAACAATAGTGTATGCAGAAAATGTTAATTGTCTGTAACATGTTTGCGAGATAACACGCGAAAAAGTGAAAAACACGTGCACGACAACTGCAATTGCACGTGCGGGTAAGGGTATAAAACGATTGCATCGGCAAGTCAGACATCCACAGTGATAAAAAAACAAAAACACAAAAGAAATGCCACGACTCACAGTCGAACAACGTGAACGAGCCTTAGGTATGGTACAGATGGGAGCCACCCACGCCCGTATTGCACGACTCTTCAGTTGCTCCCGTGTTGCCGTTACCAACTTGATGCAACGTTACAGACAGACAGGGCGGACCGCTGACAGGCCAAAAACAGGCAGACCCAGGGTGACCACGCCCCATGATGACCGGTACTTGCGTATCTTTCGCCTCCGAAATCGCTTCATGACAGTGACGTCATCGGCGACAAATGCCTCAGGTCACAGGGTTAGGCGACAGACAGTGGCCAGGAGACTCAGGACTTATGGAATCAGGGCTTTTAGACCATACAGAGGACAGCTATTGACAGCGCAACATCGTCGTCTGCGATTGAGATGGGCCCGGACTGTACGATGTTGGCAACGACGTGACTGGCAGAGGGTTGTCTTCACTGACGAAAGTCGATTCTGTAGGTTTAGGGCTGGTGGAAGACAACGTGTTTACCGCCGAAGGTTTGAACGAACGGCGGCGTGTTGCGTGCAGGAGGTCGTACCATATGGTGGAGGGAGTGTCATGGTGTGGGGAGGGATCTGTTGGCAGGAGAGGACACCGCTGGTCATCGTTGACGGAAACTTGACAGCTCAGCGGTACATGGATAACATTCTTCGTCCAGTTGTCCTACCATTTCTCTAACAGCAGCCACGTGGTGTCGTTTATCAGCATGACAACGCTAGAGCCCATACAGCCAGAATTGTCACTAACTTCCTCGCAGCCAACAACGTCAACGCCCTGCCGTGGCCTGCACGCTCACCCGATATGTCCCCCCGAGGACACCTCTGGAACTTGATGGATCGTCGTGTTCGACAACGACCACACTCTCCAGCCAACCGGCAAGAACTGATCTTGGCCCTCCAAGACGAATGGCGTCAAATCGTGTCCTCATCAGACGACTGACTTTTTCTGTGCGTTGAAGAGTTTATGCTTGTATTGAGGCATTAGGTGGTCACACACGCTACTAATGACTTGTTATTGAACGTGAGCGATTGTTTATGTACTCTGCCTATTGTCCATGATTCTGAAAGCTCGAGTTTTGTACCACACCCGACTTTGGGGGTCTCGGACGTCATTCTCGGTCGCGGTATGATTGTCATTTTCAGTGTTGATTATGTTGATCTATTGATCTTCTCAATACACTTTACTTCATGCATGTATGTTTTGTTGTTTTCGAGCAAGAGTGATTTCAAACTCTGGTAAAGTTTCTTTTTGACGTCAGTTCTCGGTAAGTGAGATCCTAGTATTGATATCAAGGATTAAAAGGTTTCCAGTTTGCTCCAAAAGTGTTTAACATATTCACATTCACAATATACGTGTATAAGATTTTCACCATTTAAATCACAAAAGGAGCAAATATCATTGTCAACTAGTTTCATTTTTAATAATTCCTTTTTGGTGTAAATTATTCTATGGATAAACATAAACTGAAAGTCAATCAATTTAGTATCTTTAGTACATTTTCTGAAGTTTTAATAAACTTCTTTCCATGGAATATCATCGTCAAAAAGAGACTGCCATTTTCCATTTACTAAGGGTGGTTTTGTTATTGTAATAGGCTATCATAAAAGAACCTAGATCCTTGAACGGGTATAAATATATCCCTCAATTGTGGACTAAGATTTAAGTCATATATTGGTATTTGGATATAGTGATTGACAGTGTCTCTCCCTTCTTTAGGTATACTAAGTTTAACCTGATTATAATCTAGTATTGTACCCTGTATATCATAACGTACTTTTAATATTTCAAATGGAAGAAATCCATTCTCATTACATAAGTCCTTAATTGTCATTATACCCTTTTTAAACCAATTTTTAATTATGTAGTTTTCATGTTTAAATTGGTGATTTAGCCATAGGGGCTGTGATAGAATTTCGGAAATCTTTTCTGACTCGGTTGTAAATTTTCTGCCATAATTTCCCCAAACATTTAAAGCATCTCTCCAAAAAAGGGTTTTTCACTAATAAATATTTATCAGCATTAACTCCTAAATTAATCATATCAGTGAAAGAAAAAACTGAAGGATTATCATATGTACTCTTTTTTAAATACCTTCTTGATGTCGATAATTTTAGTGATTCTATGAATATTTTAATGTACACAATTCTAAGCCCACCATCAGCATATTTTTTTTCAGGTTTTGTCTTTTAATTTTATCTGATTTATCATTCCATAAAAGTCTAAACAGAAATTTGTTTAAGTTTGTAATAAAGTTTTTTGGGGGGTTTGGCAGTGCCACAAAAATATGGACAAGAGTTGAGAGAGCCAATGACTTGATAACAGTAATTTTACCTATAAGAGTCAAGTTTCTTCTTCACCAGTTTGCCAATAGCCTATTTATTGTTTCAAGTCTTTTTCGGTTATTGATAACCCATAGATCTTGCAAATGAGGGTTGAGAGTAATTCCTCACACTTCAAAATTGCCTACATGCCAGTCTAATTTTAAAGCTTCACAAATATTTGATGAGCTACCTGCTTTCGACCCGCTCCATATGGCTTTTGTTTTATCAATATTTATTGTTAGTCCAGACAGACACTTTGAAGAAACAATCAAGTATATTTATTGCTGCATTCATGCTTTCTGCCTCTCCGTTTAAGAATAATTGTGTGTCGTCTGCGTACTGACCTAATTTACACTCTTTATCATTCAATACAATTGCTTCAATATTTTTATTGTCTCTTATCATACAATACAGCCTGAGACTTCTACAGCAAAAAGAAATATAAGAAGATATGTCGATATTGGGTCTCCTTGCCCGCATCTTATTTCATTAATAAAGAAAGAAGACAAATGACCGTTTTGTATTACACAGGAGGATGCATTATTAGTTAGTAGGTATATCCATTTTATCATAAAAGGCAAAAAAAACACATTAATGTAAATTATCTTTAGGTCGGTTTCAATTTACCAGCTTACAGCTGGAATATTGTTGATATTTGCTTTAAACAACAAACAAACAAAACTATTAGAGAGGTATACCGCACCTGTTTTTTGTTGTCGCGCTCCTCAAAAATTAACGATGCGAGGCACCACTCATCAGATTCGTCCATTTCGTCTTCAAGACATTCACAAATGTTCATTTCATCTTTTCTGAGGCTTTCTAACAAGAAACACGTATCATCCTTCTGGTCGCTGTCTAAGAGGTCTATTTTCTTAAGTATATCCAGACCTGAAAGATTTTATCAAATAATTGTTTAGATATTTAAGGATTAGGGTTTCCATATTACGCTGACGATTCAAATTACCCTAAACCGATCCACTATAATAATAACGGTACTTACTTAATAGGACTCTTTGGATGTCATATTTCTCCATTCTGATATCTGCTTTACCGACTGCCTGCAAAACATCATCATTCGCATCAAAAGCGTGTGACAAGATTACATTTCTTATTGATTTCACATATCTGAGTATTTGTCTGGATAATATAACTTTCCTGTTTCAGCTGTGAAGGGGTTGTATGCGAGGATTTCGTGACAAAACAAATAATAAACTGACATAACAAGGATACTAATTAGGGCGAACCTCATATTTGAACCCAATATCAGTGTATCCTGGCTTGCCTAAGGGAATTAACGCTGCGAATTATGGCGCTTTCTACCACTGAGTTACAGGACTAAAGGACCATTTCTTCATGACCATTTAGCTTTATCTACTTTATAACGCTCTATGGTCAAGTATATTTTGATGGGGATCAATTCTAACAGTAAACCCCCAATTGGTGTGGTCTCTTGGTGCAGAACAGCAAGTGCTATAAATTCCCATTAGATTTGTCTCTGTTTGTACCTTATCTGTGTAAGCCTCGTACAGTAGTATCTGGTATTCTCTCTCCCTGTCAGAGTCTTCATCTGTTTCTTCTGAAGGCAATTCTAGCTCAGCATTCTGATGCTGTAAAGCAGACATGATGTTCTTCGTGTCAGCATTTCGTTTTGATATAACTTGATTGATCTTCAAGATAGCAGCATGATCTGTAAATAAAAGTTGTATACGAATATTTATGTCTTTGGGAGAACTTCCAATTTATTAACTCAGTAACGGGTAACCGTTTATTTGGGAAGTGAATAAGTTACACCAAATAATGATAATAGCGCTAAGCTTGTTTTAACCGTCGATGGCGAAGTGGGCACTCGGACTGCACCTGGTATGGTGTGCCAGAGAGTTATATATTATTAACTTGCAAGGGGCCAAAGATACCTTTTGGTTTTCGGATTTATTAAAGGTGAGGTGAGGTGAAATTGGGTTTAACGTCCCTCAACGTAAAGATTATTGCACTTATATAGCGACGTGCATGTACCTGTGTGCGTTTGTGTGGCTGCTTGTACTAGTCCGGACAAATGCCGATTTATAGTGCTAGCACACTGAAATACCGTGCCGCAGTTTGACATGAATACCCCACTCAGACACAGTATACTGACTCCAAGCCGACCAGTCCTAGTTTTAGCCCCCTAATGCCAAGCGCCAGACAGGCTAACAACAAGTACCATCTTTTAACGTCTTTTGGTATGACGCGGCCGGGGATCTAACCCCGGACCTTCCGCTCTCCGGACGGACGCTCTACCACAAGACCACGGAGGCGGACTGATTTTTTTAAAGTACTTGCCAACAGATGGTTAAGAGAACTCCGCAGGACTGTGTATGACCCTGTGTATGATAAGAATATTGGAAGGTGAACACAATGGTGAATATATAATACATACGCGTGATTATTCTTTTGATCTCTTTGAGGCACTGTTCAATGTCTTCACCAGTTACAATGTCATTTCCTGCAACCTTTACATACACAGCTCTCTTCTCCCCTTCGTCCTAAAGAACAAAAAATGGTAAGTATATAAGTAGTTTCGTTTGAGCCTGACTGGAAATAACATAAAAACAAACTGTAGACGTAACTAGTTAAACCAGCAAAGGCCAAAAGCCTTAAGCACTAACACATATACAGTAAACTACGGTTATAACGAACTCAAAGTGACTACTTATTTTAGTTCGTTATAACCGTAATTCGTTATAAGCATATATACAGCATAACTACAGCATATAGTCGGGACTAAAAAGTTACTTCGTTATATCCGTTAGTTCGTTATAAGCGTGTTCGTTATAACCGTAGTTTACTGTAATGTTCACTGTTAACCTAGAAATACTTCTTCGTTTGGCAATGTGACTAATATGTACTCACCGACAAAATAAAAATAGATGTGGTTTTAAATATATTTATCTGTGACATCTACAAGGCTTTAAGAGTATGGGTGTATTTGGAAGATTACAAAGTGAAACAGAGTTCGTCAAACGTTAACGTCTTTAGGTGTACCGGTAACATGATTATCTCAAGCACGGCCATCGCAATGCTTAGTACCGTATGTTCACCATAGACCTGAATGGCTGCACGACGCCTCCTGCCTATGGAACATAGAAATGTGGATGACACTGTGTGGAATTGTAGAATTCTTGAAGAACTTGGAGTAATTCTCTGGCCCTGGCTGACGTTGACGTTGACGTTGACGTAAACGTCTGCCTACGTCATCGCAACGAGGCTAAAGTCATCTTGGCAGCCACGACAGTATGTGTATGTTCTGACCTCTCAGGAAATTGATTCAGACTCGTGGCATGTGGGGACGAGTGTCATGCTTCAAATGGGTCCTAAAACGGGGACGTAAGATTTCGTCACAAAAACGCACACTTGTAAAGTTGCATTGGCTATGAACAAGATCTGCTCTTCGCCATAGAGACTGCTCCCCACATAATGACGTTGCCACCGAATCTGTCTACTTCTTGTAAACAACATATAACGCTTATTTCCGTCGTGGATACGCACGGATCCACCCATCTCTCCTTTGAAGAAACAGACGAGATTCGACACTGAACCAAGCGCTACGCGAAAGTTGGGGAAGCTTCTTTCTCGGATGGGGCACGGGTGGTTCAGTCGTCTAAGGCGCCGCGATTCGCTGTGCAGAGTTGCGTCCCTTCGGCACACCAGAAATCTATAATTGCGGGTTCGAATCCCGGTTCGCTCCGATTATGTTTCTAGGTTTGCCAGTACCATACCCGTGTTCGTGGGTTTCACCGAAGTGGTAAACATCTGAGACCAGCATCACTTGGGCTTTCCTCCAACATTATGCTGACACGCCGCGATATAACCGGAATACTGTAAAAAGCGCCGTTACACCAGACTCCCGCTGACTCCCGCCAGCGCATAAACGGTAAAGGACAGTCTGTTTACATATGAGACGTAAACTGTTAGTTTGAGTTGCAGTGTTCATCGTGTACAAGGATGCAGGTCACGCATGCAGCGATCCTTGGCTACTGTGGTGATATGTGGTTTCTCTGATCTTGTTGACGATATCTTTTCGAAAGTTGGGAAATTGTGCTCTGGGCAACGTTGAAATGCCTTGCCACTGACGCTTGGGATTCACCAGCTTAAGCCTACCAATAGCGCTATTCCCGCATTTTTATCATTTATCAGTGACTCGAGGCCTGACAATTGTCACAAAATCACTCGTTACCTGAGTCATAAACTTGCCCATAAAACGGATGCCCAATTCCATGACTTGCAAGTGAAAAGTGCATTTCAGTTCCCAAGAAAACGAATCATGTAAATGTCGAATGTTCATCGATATTCACTCTATCAAGGACTGTCACAATAAACCCGTTTTGTGACATTTTTTCGGTAAAAAGGAAAGGTTAGACTTTATGTTCATCTAATAGTGCAACATGGATTACTTAAGTACATTTAAAGGTATTCTTACCCACTATGCGTTAAAACTTTCATTTTTACAGAGTATATTTACTAATAATCGCAACGAAGAACAGGACATTATATAAGTGAGATGTTTCTATGCAACGTGGCATGCCTTGGAGATGCCTAGGAGCGTTTTTCTTTTAAGCGTCGTCATGTGTGCACATTTAATCAAATCTTAATGATCTTCCGAGAAACAAAACAAAACAACAAAATTTGTGTGCCTTATCACCTTGCTTTGTGTCAATAATTTGTGATAAGCGACAAAGGTCCGTTCCTTCTTTCCTTTCACGTCATCGTTTAAGTCGAAATAGTTGATCTTCATTGATGCCATTAGTTCTTTGGATGTTGCAGACCTCATCACCCTGACAACCGACTGGTACCCTGTAATCACAAACACTTGTTATCATGTGGGTGTTCCGTTGAGTGGGGTAGTGGATATTCGTGTATATAGGTTTATGCATGCAATAATAACCTAACAATGGCGAACCTTCGAACATTTCTTGCCAATCTCTCACAAAACATTTATTACAATATATATCAGCACCTTAAGTACAGTTGAATTTGCAATATTCAGTTGACGTTTCTGCATTCAGGGCCATACATACAAGATGACATACTAGTTGTTCAATCACGATTGTGCCTTTCTATATTTATATGTTAAACATTATCAGAACAGGACAGAACGGTTATGTATTACGTTCATGCTAAATTATTCAGGATATGAGGTCCAAATGACATTATATATACATACAGTTAGTGATGGTGGATAATTCTTGCAGGGAGATTTTCAGAGTTTCATTATTTGGCTACAGAATTTACATAGGTTCTCCTTTACAGATAATTTTGTATGTCCTTGGAGAAAATGCTTGAAATTTTAATATATTCGTTCTCAATAAATATGAATAAGATATATACGGTTTTCTTTCTTTTGTCATTAATGTGTACATTTTATGATATAATTCATCCTCAATATCATCTGTACAACACAATTTACTTTTTCTATCATATAAAGGTATCTTATTCGGACGTCCCTTTTCAATAAGTAAACGGAAAAAGAGTTATTATATTGCTAGAGGTAATGGCAAGGACTTCAGTTAATTTCGACCAAAACGTTAACATACGGAATTTAACGTCAACAGAAAGTGGAACTCAGCCTAATTCGCATGAAGCATAAACAAAGGAGGACTTTTCTTTTCAGGTATTTTTTTCTCCTAAAACACAGATGGATATTTTTAATTTATTTTAAATTAACAAACCCCCAAGTTACGCACCCACATAACAAGAAAAATCATGCCATCAAAAAGTTATAATGGGCATTGTATAAAAAAGGTTACTGCTGTTGACAAAGATGACAATAATGTGTTATTGCTTTGGGTATGTTTAAACTTGACGTGGCTAATAGGATAGTGTCATCGATATACAATACAACAAACATTGATATTGAGAGGTCAAGCATTGAGTCGAGTGTATAGGAAATGATTGATAATCTTGGACAATCTTTAGATATTTAGAAGCTGTCTTAGTCATTTGAAAATAGAGAAAACAATACTGGTGATACAATGTCTCCGTGACGGACACCGACAAGACATGGGAAGAATTCTGAGTCAGTTCCCCATACAGAAACACATGATTTTATACGTTTATACATTGATTTGATCATTCCTAAACATTTACCGTCTATACCGTGCTCAAATAGTTTGCCCACAGTGCAGCCATCCAAATACTATCGAAAGCTTTTTTAAAGTTGATGAAACAACATTCTTTTCTTTCGAGATTTAAAAGGTCCACTAAACAACGAAGGGTAAATATATGGTCATTAGTAGAATATGTCTTACGAATTCCAACCTCTGCTTCTGACACATTATTTTGATAGTAAAAAAAAATAATTCCGTTACTAAGAATGTTGGTATATTAACTTTCTAAAACATCTAAACAAACATTTGGTCTAATATTAACAATTTCTGTGTTAATCCTCTTTACCCTTGTAGACAGGACGTATAGTACCATTAAGCCACTGTATATTATCATCCATCATTTTATATTTGGTTAATAATTAAGCATATAAAAGTAACATAATGTATCTAGCGGTGTTGATGCATTCATTAATTATCTGATCAGGGGCTTACCGTTTTTTGAGATCAGAAACAGCTAACAGTATTTGTTCACTTGTAATTACACTGTTTAAAATTTAAGTACTGTCGTCAGTGTCTATATGTAACTGATCAGCGAGAGATCATCAGGTTCTTCATTAAGCGTATCATTATTGAAGGATTTGAAGTGTGAAAATAGTTCTCCAAGTGGGATAAGGTCCAACACTTTGGCATCTTTTCTTAACAATTTTCAAAATGATTTCGTATCATCAATCTGTCAGTTAGATCATTTGTTCCGTGAAGCAATTCGGGTGTGAATTGTTAAACTGAATCAGTCTTTTTATAAGCTTTACTTGCATTGATATATCATTGGTTATTTTCTGTTGTTTTAATCCTTTGGAAAATAGTTTTAGTCTGATTATAGTTACCTCGCCTGATCTTACAATCACGACCCTAACAGGGTTGGGGTCGTCGGGTAACATGTTTATTTCGTTGTATTGTTTTTTTTAAAGCCAAAAAGTGACTTTAATAAATACATTTATCATACAATGGGTAGGTTTCTCGGCAGGATAAAGCCAACGGATAAAAACGATATCCGTTGGGGTCATATGCGGATTAAGATGCAAATATCAAAGGTCAAGTAGGGACTACTTTCAGTGTTTACAAACAAACATGGCGTCGCTCTTGGCAATCGGCGATCGAGTAAGAATTGATAATCGCGGATGTGGAGTCGTAACTGGAATAATAGATCGAAGTTCAATTGAGAAGTCCTTCTTTGTTTTTATCGATGGGACTGATTACGAAGGACGACTTGATCGACATCGTTTAAGTAAGATTCCATGTCCAGTCCCACGTCCGATAATGCCGGTATCCGAGCAGACGAATACAAGGTTTCGTTTAGTTGTAAATGAGGATATCGATGAAATCATTGAGACAAACGAAAACAAAAACACCGCAAAAAAGACTTTGTACACAATGAACCTTGTGGGCGAATTTCTTTCCTCTCAAAATGAACATAGGCCTATTGAGACCATCCCCCCATGTGAACTTTTACCTTACATATGCAAATTTCTCGTTGGCATAACGAAGAAAGACGGCTCTGACCCTGAACCTTTAACCCTTCGGTCATACATATCAAGCATTGACAGATATTTGAAGCGAAAAGAATATGGGTGCACACTTTCCCACTTCCCAGAGTTTGGCAAAGTACGGGAAGTTCTGAAATGTCGACAAATAGCTCTCAAAAAGAAAGGGAAAGGCAACTTACCCAACAGATTAGATCCCTTATCCGACGAAGAAGTGAATAAACTTTGGGAAACGGGTCAGTTTGGCGCACACTCTCCCCATGCAATCATAAACACAATGTGGTTTCACAACACAGTCCACTTTGGACTTTGGGGTGGGGACGAGCATCGATCCATGTGTTGGGGAGATGTGTTGTTGAAACGTGATTCAAACGGGTTGGAGTTTCTCACTTTCAATGAAAAACAAACGAAGACACGTCCAGGTACAAATTCAAAGGATATCCGGGATGTTACTCCCAAAATGTGGGAAAATCTTGACGATCCTGATAAGTGTGTTGTTAAAATCTACAAGGTGTATGCAGCAAAACGTCCGCTTGATTATAATGAACCAAATGATCCTTTTCACATTTCGACAAACACTCTTGGTCCAAACGCACAATATGGTGATTCCAACACATGGTTTCGTCGCCAACCAATTGGAGATAGAAAACTGGGTTCACTTATGAAATCCATGAATGGCAGCACTCGAAACATCCAAACGCCTCACAAACCACAGCGCAAGGAAATATCTGATTCAAAAACTGTCACACTGCAACGTCCCTCCCAATCAAATAATGCAGCTTTCGGGGCACAAAAACATGCAATCAATAAACAATTACAGTAAACTAAATGAACAACAACATCGTGACATCTCCCGAGTTCTGTCAGATACAACTAGACCCAGTTTCAGTTCATTCAATCCTGCCTTGTGCTATCCTGTCCCACCGATCGGCACCTTTGGCTTGGCCGGGCCATGTGCGACTCGGTCACAAAACGAAATGACTGTGAATGTGTCAGGCGGTGTCAACACTTTGTTCGCAGGTCCTGTTATGGGGGGAAACATCACTGTGAATGTTGTTCCTGAGCAGAAACCCTCACCACCGCGAAAATACCGGTGTCTGGCAATAATTCACTCAGACAGTAGCCAGGATGTCGTTGTTTCGCCTCCTAACTTGATGACCCGTTACACTGCCCACGTGCAGAAATTTGAACCAAAACAAACCTTTGTAGTTATTTTCAAACGTTCATTGAAGCATATTCTCCCTTCAAAACGCGTGTTTGTTTTCATTATCAAATAATTCGTCTCAGATGCCAATAATCAGTGTCTAAAAATACAAGTTTCTATTGGAAGTATATTGCCTGTTGTCTATGTCCGGTTGATAATAGACTGGTTCCCGGAACGAACAGGAACCAGTCTAAGTGACTTATCACTTACTGTGTGACGTAATATATTAATGCGCACATTTCAGGAAAACTTGAAATGTTTGTGGGAGATGAGAATACTTTTTTCAACGGTAAAAGTTAAGAATGACATTATATGATAAAGAGGTTATCACGCTCGTGTGTTTAGGGATGGTAAATATCCTGCATTAGGAATAAACACTATGTATTTAGCTCGCCAAGGCTCGCTAAATACAATGTTTATTCCTAATGCAGGATATTTACCATCCCCTAAACACACTCGCGTGATAACCTCTATTTATTAATATTATCAAGAATATTTGTAAGTGTTTGGTGGTCACCGATTGGAGTCTCAAAGTCAGACACAATATGGCCTATTACCTTTTGATGAGAGTCAATGACACTGTAAAACTTATATTACGACAGTGAACAATTTGTGCAATTGTTGCAAATTGATGTAACCTAATTACTTTTTGCCTGTATTTATATCAATATGTCTATGCACGTATGTCATTGTTGCAATAAACTCTCCCTACATACGACAATTTAGGACAGATAGGTACAAAGACACACAATCAACGTACTCTGTATTTAATAGATTGAATTGTATGATATGCATTACTTAGAAGTTGACGGATGACAAAGTAGACACAATCTATGGCCCATTAAGCAATAATCACCGCACCTATACAACTTATTCTGTTTATTTGGCTTCAATTAATCTATGTGTTCTTCGTCCATCATGTTGTGACAGGATTATCCTTCTGTTGTCATTACCTACTCATGTTATCCCAGTCATGTATGCAATTGCTGTTACTGTTTATCCTCTTCTTTTAATCCTCCACCTACTATATATATTCTGTACAATGTCCCTCATTCAGTCTTGCTTGACAACGGTATAAGGATCTATACCGAACCGTCGCTTTTTACAGTAATAAAGAAGTTGTTAGCCATAAATTGTGTCTACTTTGTAATAATAGATTGATTGATTCTGACCATTGTTCGTCGCGTCCGTTGACTGGACCACCCGATCCATGATATTGCTGGAGATGTATTTCTACCCGTAATCCACATGACGATCACTCAGTGTTTTCACTTTTCTAAACGTAACAATGTAACAACGATAATAGTACTTACTGTTCACATGATTAATAGCATCTTGGATTTCTTGGATGTTCAGTCGTCGACAGAAGATGTTCGCGAGGTCCTTAGTCTTTTCCTAAAATAAACATAGAAATATACTTGTCAACATAAATTTCAGGTCTGACCAAGCATCACTGTTGATTTTTTTGTTAGGTGTTTAAATATAATGTTTGTCGACAATCATCTATCATCCGGTAAGTGAGTGAGTGAGTGAGTGAGTGAGGGAGTGAGTGAGTTTGATTTTACGCCGCTTTTAGCAATATTCCAGCAATATCACGGCGAGGGACACCAGAAAAGGGGTTCACACATTTTACCCATGTTGGGAATCGAACCCGGGTCTTCGGCGTGACGAGCGAACTCTTTAACAACTGGGCTACCCGACCGGCCCTTTTTCAGGTAAGAAACAGAAAGGTTTCATGAACACCTGAAATTTTCAGGACATAATGCCAAAACAGTAGAAATGGGATACTGTTAAATGTAAAGGACTGATTTGAGCACAACGGGGAGAGATCTGAGCCAGGAGTGAGTGTTTTGGGCCTAGTAGAGGGGAGAGACCTGAGCCTAGGCTCAAATCGCTCCAGAGTGAATTTATAGGGGATTGATTTGAGCCTGCAACAACGGCCCTGAATCATTTTTAATAAAGAAACCCAATAACTTTGGTTTGGCCTAACCTTGTCCTGCTTTTCAGTTCTCTTTTTCCGGAATTCGTCCATGTATTCTTGAGCAAAATTCAGTTCATGAGTGCCCACTTCCACGTTTTTTAATTTTCCAGATGTTAGTCCCGTAATCCAGGAGTCGTCCTCATAGAGTCCTCTGATCCCATGATCAATGACTACACACACCCTCTCGGCTGTAATAAAAACAAGAATCATAAGAATGCATTAATGTATCGGAAGAAATGCATGTAAACATGTAATTACTAGCACCTGCTGGCACCGGCGACGCATCTTAATGAGACATCACCACGTACTTTAAATCCCCGTTGGAATATATCTGTTGAACTTTCTCCCAATGCCCCATGCTGATCGTAGAGCCGAGTAATGACTGTAGGCTAGTCATGCTTGATTACTTTGGTGATGTTGTGCCATCAATGACAGGACTGCTGACTAAAGAGCTCTCATTTACTCACATTATGTTGTCAGTATAGAAATACACACATGCCGCCCTTGTTCAAAGAAGCAGCCAAAATTTGAAATAAGGTATAAATCAACCCGAACATTTGCATATTCATGTTTCAACAACATTGCCCCAAAATATCTCACTGAACTCTTTCCAGTCTACTCTCCACAGAGAACTCTCCGATCTCAACAACAGAAACTATTTTCTATTCCGAAAATCAGAACCTCCACGTACGGCGAAAAAACATTCTCTTATTCCGCAGCGATTCTATGGGACTCTCTTCCAAATAATGTGTAATTATCTCTTTCAGTCTATTAAATCACACCTCAAAGCCCACCTATTAAACATACACTGTCAATGCTAAGCGCACTGAACACAAAGTTTTGCGCCTTTTAATGCGCTATATATAGATGCATCATCATCACGATAATAAAGAAGAAGAAAAATTGCTTATTTTTGTCACAAAATACATAACACCACAAGATAAAACATGGCTACCCATTCTGGGTTATGAGAGACATTTAACATAAACAAATTATAAACTAAATCACATATTTAGAACATATAAGTATTGGGGCACACGAGCAACCTGCACTTACAATATCAAATATTACCCACGATATAAAATCTAAATATAACCTGCAATACAATGCTTAAAGACGACCCGCAGTGTAATATTCGGATACAGACCGATAGAAACATATTATATTATTATGATATATTTACATTCATACGTCGTCGAAACATCAGGGACACTGTTGCAGCTAGGCAATGTTGTATCTTCTCGTTTTGCATACGGTAAGCAAACTGATTATTTTGGCTAAACTGAGAAATTTATTGTCGGTGGTGTGAGCATCCATCAGTAAGTTACAACGGATATCTGAGTATAGTCTGCAGTTCATTAGGAAATGAAATTCGTCTTCTACGTACGATATTTTAATTACAATTGTTACATGTTCCTTTCTCTAGAGGAATTGGTGGTCGACTAAATCTTCCTAATTCAATTTGAAGAGGTAGAGTGCCACATTTCAATTTAGCAAGATCACTTCTATGTTGTCTGCTTCTGATTAATTTAACGTATGGTTCTGTGCAGGGATTAACTTTAAATTTCCTATAGGTACGAAGCTTATTACCGTTGGCTAGTCCCCGGACATTCCACAGGTCGTTAAACCACGTAACAGACTCCATATGGATTAAATGTTCTTTAATGGTCTTAAAATCTTGATTTGACACCTGCAGTATATTTTGGATATCGATGCCTAACTTCGCAAAGATTGATTGAACGTTATTTATCCAGGATTTACATCTTCTTTTGGACCACACAGCGATTTTATGAACTATTCTGTCTTGTTCAATGATCGACAACTTCTTACATAAACTAATGACTTCAATTCTCTGCAGGGTAAGCGAAGACAGCCAACCCATCTCTCCCCTCACAGCCAAGTTAGGGGTTTTACAGCTGACGCCCATGAGAAAACGGCATGACGGTGCTGGGCGTTATTTAAACATCTAAACTATCTTAGTCCCCAGATTCCGGACCCGTAAGACAAAATTGGTTGTACTAAATTACTATAAAAAGTATTATAAACTTCAAATGCCATTCCGCCCATAGTTTTAAATTTACTGATTATAACACCAAGAGCTCTGTTAGCCGACTTAGCTAACTCCTTGGCAGCAAAGTTAAGGTCAAGATTCTCATGTAGCCACAATCCAAGGTATTTATAGGCTTTGGAATAATCGATCACTTTTTCTTCGATATTGAACAACACATTAGATTTTAAACAGATTGCTGATCTGTAATGAAAGACTTTAGTTTTATCTCCGTTTACCGATAACCGCCATTTCTTACACCAATCTTCTAAAACACGCCCAGCATCGATTGAAGGCATGATTCATTGGGCGCTATAAGTGCAATATCGTCGGCATAGAGTAACATGCTCAAGATTAATCCATCTACGTTAATACCACATTTTGAAGAATTAATATCATTAGCTAAATCGTTGATGAATATTGAAAATAGTGTTGGCGAGAGTACGCATCCTTGTCTAACCCCGACAGATACCGGAAACATATCTGTTAATTGACCATTTATTCGAACCCGACTAGATGTATTTTCGTACATGGACCTCACTGCTTCATAGAATTTTCCCGTGACACCAATTTGTTGTAGCTTATATCATAAACATTTACGTTTTGACTTTATCGAAGGCTTTCTTTATAATTAAATCGATGTAGCACACGAACGTTGATTGTTTATTAAGCTTACGAGTTTCTAAAATAGAATAAAGAGAATACAAATGTTCAAGCGTTCCCCGTTTTCTTCTGAAACCATTTTGTTCATCAACAAGTATTTCATTATCTTCTTGCCAAGTTGAAAGTCTACAGTTTAGTACATCGGAGTATATTTTACCCGGGATTAACAGCAACGATATTCCTCGGTATCCTAACGGGTCCCTCGGGTCTGTGTCAGTTTTCTTAATAGGATGAATAATGCTAAGTTTCCAAAGTTCAGGATATGTTTGGTTTTCGAAGCAAAATATGAAAAGTTTATGTAAAATTTCTATACATTTGGCGTTTTTCAAAGCATCAGCGGGTATCAAATCTTGTCCCGGTGACCTCCCTCGTTTAGATCTTATACGGTGCTCTGTACCTCACACAAACTTATAGGGCTGTTTAAAACATCACAGTTTATCGCAGATGGAAAAGGTTCAGCTATTTGTTTAAGCAATTCGTCCGATATATGCCTATAATGATCGTCATCGTATGAGTTATTGTTATCTTCAGCGAGCAGGGAATTGAATGATTCTTTCCACGTGTTCAAAACTGTTTGTTTATAAGTAGAAATACGGTCCACTTTATAAACTTCCCACGGAATGCTATGTGATCTATCATTTGCAACACCTATATCCTACCAATGCTTTTCCAAAAGTCACGGGAGTTATTGGAGTTACATTCGTCTAACTGTCTCTGCTGTGAAGATTGTTGATAAGATCGTTTATGTTTACGTAAGGTTTTATCGAACTGTCTCCTTTTGCTTATATAAACTGATTTGAACTGATTCCGTTTATGAGATCCCCGACACTTGAGCCACTCATGCTCCGCTTGACACATAGTATCCCAGAGTGTTCGCAGTTCCTCACACCAATAGGGTTTGTACACGGATTTAATGCGAGACCTCCGCGACTCCGGACACCCGACGCTTCCATCGGTCCGATCGAGTTGTTGGTGCATGAATGTAACGAACTCGTCAAAGGCGGCGTTAACTGTAGTTCTATCTTCGAGATCGTGTCGATGGCTATAATGGCTATAGTGGTTAAAGTGATTCTTGTAACATATACTTACTGTTGTAAATACGTATCTGGTCATCTATCTCTTTCTGCGTCAATCTGTTGGGGATAGAGCCTGTTCCTTGCGCTACTTGAACCTTCTACAACCAGAAGATTACTGATTACTTGAATTGTATACACCAGCTATTCAGTGTGTCACTGTAGTATGAAATAATGTAACGATTGGCAACAGATGACAAAGATTAATAACTTTATCTGTTGGTCTAAGCTAAGATCCTTTTGATTCTCTTACCTTTTCTTTTGCCTCTTGAAGAAGGACGCAAGTGTCCACCACATCCCTCTCGGTAACATTCTTGAGTTTGGGCAAACGTCTCAGTACACCTATCGTGTCGTTTCTGTTGTCCTCGATTGTTTGGTCCTTTCCCAGTGCAACGTCAAGATCGACGAGTACGTCTGTAAGTAAACCACATAAACTAAAGCTTCCAATGCCCAATAGATAACCTGACAGTGACGAGTACAGAGTATCAGGATACAAAGGTCTTTGACGTATAAGTTCATGAGCATCCTACGAGTAAGAATTTGTCTCATTGCATCGATAAGAACGAGGTCTTGTCGAACGGTTTCGAGTCCAGGATACATAGAGCTGAAATACTGTCGTGATCTTTCAACATGGTAGTACTATCCTTGCAGTCCCTCTCTTCTGAAAGTTAGTTTTGTACAAGGTCAAAATCTGATCCTGGTTAAATCGCCGACCCCGCACACTTATAGATAGGTGTTAGTCACTTGGAGCCAGATTTGGAGAACTGTTTGTTTGTTTGTTTGTTGTTTAACGCCGCACTCAGCAATATTCCATCTATTTGAAGGAAATCTGTGAATAATCGAGCACTAAGTACAACTGACTTCATGAGCATCGATTTACGCAAATGGGATACGCCTTCGGATGACATGCATCAACCAAGTCAGGAAGTCTGACCAGCGGATCCCGAAAGTTGCCTCTTACAACAAGCACTAATTCTAACCCGGATTTTCACGGGTGTCTAGTAGTGAGTGAGTTGGGTTTAACGCCGCTTTAACAGTATTCCAGTTATATCATGGCGTGTCAGCTTAATGTGGGAGGAAAGCCCGAAGTGATGCAGGTCTCAGACGTTTACCACTTCGGTGAAACCCACGAGCACGGGTATGGTGCTGACAAACCACGAAACATAATTGGGAGGAACCGGGTTTCGAACCCACAATCATAGGTTTCGGGCGTGCCTAAGGGACACAACTCTGCACAGCGAATCGCGGCGCCTTAGACGATTGCGCCACCCGTGTCCCCGGGTTTCTAGTAAAAAAGGTAGTGGGTAGAAGCTCATGGGAATGAGCCGTGAACCAAAGTGTACTCATAAAGCATCGATGGTGGAAACCAATATACAATAGAGATTCACGGGATAGAATTGGTCCTGAAAGAAATGGTTATACTTACTTTCAGATGGGTGAACTGGGGACGACACAACAACGCCCATTGTGATTTTACTGGAACATCAGGGAATCAAAAAATAAACATCGGCACAAACCCTTTCAAATTGTTAAAATATTATTGCACGAATGAAGCTTCAAAATGTCGTAAATACGTGACACTTACTTCTGAGGACGTATATTTTATGCATTGTGAAAATTCTATTTTTATCTTCTTTGGTGTCTGCAGGGTAGCAGTTATTTTGATTTTTCTTCCAAAAGGCTTGATTATTCTTCGTCGACAACAAAACCTATTCCAATACGTCACCATATTCCCCGACACCAATCCTTAACCCGGCCCGTTACTCAACTGAATTGCTTACTGTAATAGATACGAGACGGGCGGCTTTTGATTAAAAACACTGCAAGTGTTTGTTTTGTTTGTTTGTTGTTTACCGGCGCACTCAGCAATATTCCAGCTACATGACGGCGGTCTGTCAATAATCGAGTCTGGAACAGACAATCCAATGACATCATGAGTATCGATCTACGCAATTGAGATACGATGACATGCATCAACCAAGTCAGCGAGCCAAGCACAGTCGCTTTACATCAAGCAAGGGTTGCTGAAGACCTATTTTCACCCGGACCTTCGTGGGTCTACACTGCTAGTGAGTACATGCCACTTTATCAGGGTGCTTTCAGTGACCCATCAGCAGCACTCATCCTTGAAGTGGGGAAATATTTAAAATTCGTCATGACAATTTGGTTGATATGAATGTTGTATGCTTTGTATGCTTTGAACTTTCTCAACAATCATATAATGAAAGATTCATCTTGGGTCTAGAATATATATAACACGTCAACTCCAGAGAGTAACCAGTCTCGATTATCCGCCGAAACAGATTCAATTGGGCGTAAAGCCGTCTTTTAATTTTAGTCACTTTAAAAGCTTTCCAAATCGAGTTTGTACTCATGCAAACTGACATATATCTTATTATAATAAGGGACTTGAGTGTGAATAGAATCCAGTCAGTTGCCAGAGAGTTGCCTGACCAGTTTTTACCTTCCGTAGTCTGTATGCATGTGATATGCGTAATTGAATCGCTCTCTACTTAAAGTCCTTGATCAATAGGTGGACGGCGCCTCAATATACATGTATGTAGCTTACACTAGCTTGTTGTAACCTCCACCCCAGCTGTGCGATCAATCTTTCAGTAAGTCAGCGATATCCCCCACAGTGCATGCAGATCACGAAGGCCTCGTGTCGCCATACCTTTGAACAAGAATGTTACTTACACAATGTACCTGTAAATAAAAGTGATGTCTTTCGACATCAATATATGTTAATCTAACGTTTTACTTGTCTGCTATAGTACATATAATTTGTGCACTAAAATTCTACTAAATATATTAATGTATTTATCCGTTCATAAAAAGTTCATATGTGACACGACTGTTTATGGCCCCGATAAATGTTAATACTGGATTGAGTAAGGTGTTAGAATACAGTTTTGTGACTATTGAATTTACAACGTCAAAGCCAGTAAATAATTCGAAACACATTCCATTAGGCGTACAAGGCAAAATAGTCCTGTAAATATGTGAATGGATCACTAACAATCAGTGGAAGCACCATGTGTTCGCGAAAAGGGTTAACGTGTCCTGCTCTGCCATTAGCACCCGCCATTGACACATTTTGCATAAAGAATATAATCAACAAATATTACGGAAAATAGCTATCGACGCAATGTTCAAAACTGATATACGTGACCCTCACATGGACGCTTTTCATAGTGTTCTCAAGGACAGTATCTGATGTATTTTCTCCTCGTTCGTTTATTATACAGAGAACGTTTCCTCCAAGTTGAGGCATTTTGGTGAATGCAGTTTAATTTGTTGTTGTTTTAATAATGAAACAAAAATCAAATTCATTTTTGTAATAATATAAGTTTAAAGAATATATGATTACATTAAATTGTTTCTTTTTATGCGAGTGTCTCTTTTTTCAGAATGAACTAGGAGGAATAACTTACGGCGTTATAAGTAAGGGGCGGTGAGGTAGCCTAGGGGTTAAAGCGTTCGCTCGTCACGCCGAAAATCAGGAATTGATTCCTGACATGGATACAGTGTGTGAATCCTATTTATAGTCTCCCCGCCGTGATATTGCTGGAATATTGCTAAAAGCGGCGTAAAATCAAACCCATTCACTTACTCACTCACTTTATAAGTAGTATAGTATCTGTTGTTGATATATATAACACGTCTTTGTTTGTAAGACCATATTCGTGCTCGTGGATTTCACCGAAGTGGTAAACGTCTGAAACCTGCATCACTTCGGGCTTTCCTCCCACATTAAGCTGATATACTGTAAATCTTGAAAATAACGCGAGAGTGAATTAAATGCGAAAAATGCGAGTGGTCTTTGCTCGCATTATTAAACATCGCATTTATATCAACAATAAGACATTTTGGATAGGAGAAAATACCTACTTAGACATAGGCTGGAAACAAACAACTATGTATTCCACATAACTGTTTATTGAGCAGCAAGTGTAACAAGTATATAAACAATGTCATTCAAACACTAATTACATCCTGTGAATTGTCACTGCTGGGGTCAGTAGTACTCTACTCAGCGTTAATAAGCGGTGCTATTTGGAGTGATTGAATTAATGTAAGGTTGGACTAAGGTGAGGATTCTCCTGTAAACCTGACAGAGGAAATTTTCTTTAGATATAAATCCACTGATTCTTGAGAAGGGGGAGTTGCCGCATTCATATCGAGTCGCACTTTTGGCTAGGGGAAAACGGGAGACGCATTAATTTCACGATTTACAGAAACTGGAATACTGTTAAAAGCGGCGTAAAACCCAACTCATTCACTTTGTTTGTAAGACGCGCTCAAAACACGACGGCATAATTGGAAGTATTACAGTAAACTACGTTTATAACGAACACGCTTATAACGAAATGACGGATATAACGAACTTACTTTTTGTCCTGACTATTTGCTGTAGCTATGTTGTGTATATGCATATAACAAACTACGGCTACAACGAGCTAAAATTAGTGGTCCTTTTGAGTGCGTTATAACCGTAGTTTACTGCAAATTGTTATACCACTTCAACCTGTACTTGTGAACTAGACAAGATAATTTACGATAGTGTCGCATACGGTAAAGAATAAACATATAACACGTTATTTAAGCAATAAAATGTACTCTATCAAGTCTGTCAAAGGCCAATGCGATACTTCTTGAAACATGATTAAAATATATACATTTACCAAAACTGAAAGACATATCTAGTCTCCGAAATGAAAATATTTTCCAGAAAAACAGTTGCTAAATTATCCTAATGAAACATAATCCAAAGAAGTGCAAAGACTTTTTTCATTTTCAGAAATTGAAACTGCACTGATCTAGATTTGCCAACTTTTATAGACTTGTATTGGGTGTATTTGATTCAGAGTCTGCATGGTCCGGTGAACGTATTTCAGTTCTATCACGGCGTATCATCTTACTGAAAGAAAGCACATCGTCATGCAGAAGCCAGAGGTTTGCCACTTCCGTGACACCTGTGAAGATAGGTGCGGACGGTGTTGCAAACCAATGATCATAAACAGGTAAATCTGGGATTCGAACCCATCACCACAGATCACGGCACGCCTAAGGGATGAACTGCGAATTGAGGCCTCTTCGGCGACAGGGCCAAGAAATGACCTTAAACATTGTACTATGATAGGAGTCAAACCTGTGTATTTGGCTAGACGATTCAGCGCTTTAACCACTTGGCTACCCCACCGACCGAACTGTAGTGATTAACTATGAAGTACTTACATGAATGTATAGTCTCCAATCGTTCTGCAGATAGATGTACATTCACCCACACCCTTTGCTTATGTATGGTCGTGTGTCATTGGTGCACAGCTTTATACTTGCTCAAAACAGCCATGGGTAAATACAACAGGTGTCACGTGAATTCCTGGAATAAGGACCCCCCTCATTGCTATATAACTCGTTAGTATTGATCCGTGAAAAGATCTCCCGTTCAAATACGATGCACATTTATTAAAAATATCACATATATATTTGACTTTAATATGTCAAGTCCGTGAGGTTTTGCATTTGCCTATGATCGATCGTAGGTAGATAACGTTTTAAATTAGACTCGTAAAACAACGGTATCTAACGGGGACTCTTTACACAATCGACACATCTGGTAAGCGTTTCTACTAAACTTAAGACGTACATGGCGAACGTGTGTGAGCTATCTTTGAAGTTATTTTAGGAGTTTCTTTAGGATAAACATGGAGGTTCGCTCGGGTTAAACTACACACATGTACTTTCAGTCCCCATACAATGTATAAACAGCTCTGTGTCAAATTATGACCTTGGTGATCAGAGAAGGAAAACTGAGTAGTAATGCAGGTACATTGTATATAACAGACATTAGGTGAGGTGAGGTGAGGTGAAATGGGGCTTAACGGCGCGTCCAAGATTATTGCACTCATATAGCGACGTGCATGTGTGTGTGTGCGCGTGCGTGTGCGTGTGTGTGCGTGCGTGCGTGTATATATATATATATATATATGTGTGTGTGGGGGTGTGGGGGGTGTGGGGTGTGTGTGTGTATGTGTGTGTGTGTGTGTGTGTGTGTGTGGCTGCTTGTACTAGTCCGGACTGATGCCGATTTACAGTGCTACCCCACTGAGATACCATGCCTCAGTTTAACATGAACACCCCACTTAGACACATTATACTGATTCCGAGCCGAAAAGTCCTTGTTTTGGCCCCTTAATGCCGAGCGCCACACAGGGTAACAACAAGTGCCATATTGTAACGTCTTTTGGTATGACGCGGCCGGGGATCGAACCTCGGACTTTCTGTTATCCGGGCGGACGTTCTACCACGAGGACACGGAGGTGGTCCAACGGATATTAACTGCCTTTTACTATATGATAGTGATTCATAAACACATGGACATGATATAGTTCGAATCGTACAATCGAGTCTGCTTTATGCAGAGGGGGCACGGGTGGTCCAGTCCTCTCAGGCGCCACGCTTTGGTGTGCGGAGTTGCGTCCCTTCGGCACGCCAGAAACCTATGATTGTGGGTCCGAATCCCGGTTCGACCCCGATCATGTTTCTAGGTTTGTCAGCATTATACCCGTGCTCTTGGGTTTCACCGAAGTGGTAAACGTCTGAGACCTACAGCATTTCGGACTTTCCTCTCACAATCAGCCGACACGCCGCAATATAACTTGAATACGGCGTTACAAGCGGCGTTAAACCCAACTCACTCACCCCCTCACTCACTTTATGCAGAGATTTCTATTGGGTATGGAAAGTGTTTTGTCGGATTATTTACGTGAGGCTTTAAGTGGTTGAGAGCAATTCGCCTTATAGAGTTGTGTCCCTCTTTTCGTTGGTTCAAACGCCAGACTTAATCAACAATATTCATCAACACTTCTAACGTATTGTACATACATACAATGATTTAGCTGTGGATTATGATACCACGAGGGTTTCCAACAGGTCATAGCATTAGGACCGAGTGCTCGGATGTCTATTTTCTTCATTATTTCAAGGGGACATTTTATAGTTTTCACCGAATAAACATTGCACCATGTTGTCACGGAAGAACAATAAATAAATAGGACACGTAGGCCAGCCAGCTGGCTAGACTCATTGTATCCTAGATGCAGCTATCGGTGTTCACGGACAATAAAGGGATGAAGGGGACAAAAGGAGCAAGGGGAGCAAGACGCAGCCCCGAAACGTCGTGACAAAGGATATAAAGAGCCGCTGTCAATAAAAAGTGCAATGTATTCATGTTCTCCCAACTTCTAAATGTCTATTCAATACGTTAAGGTAGTAGTTTACCTCAAGGTCATAAAAAGCTATGAGACAATTGAGTTAAGGGAATATTCGGATCAGAGAATATTCGGTTCTAGACCAGCGGTTGGTAGGTTGAGAAACCATCATCACATTGTCAAAAAATGATCACAAATTGCAACCACACGATCCTATATATACAAGCATGCTGGGGTCCATTCTTGCCCCGGAAGGCCCACGGAGGCGATAGTATCTCAATTTATCTCCGTCATCCTTCGCGATTGATCAGAAACAACAACATAAAGACTGAGTGGTCACGTGAAGTACACTGCACGTGACTATTTTGACGTCACACCGCCCACTGTGGCGTAACATAACGATGCCAGATCAGAGTAAGGTACTGAAAAGTGCTACTTCAAACTATTTGCTAGCTCAAAACATGAAATACTCTATCTTAGTTTATCCCTATCGTCTTCTCTGCATCAAATGTATAACTGTCACAAACACCTTAAACAACATTTAGGTGAACGCGGCGTGACATGGGGAATGTTAATGTGTAATGTTTTCTTCAGAATAGTGTGAGGCCAATGGGTCATGGGGGCCTAGGACATATATATTTATGACTGTGCAATATCTTTTATGCAAATATTTCAGGCATATGAACTCGGAAATATAAAACGTCAATGCCAGGAAATAGACTTTGTATGCTTTGTATAATCATATAATGAAAGATTCATCTTGAATCATATATGTAGCACGTCACGCCAGAGAATAACCAGTCTCAATTATCCGCCGAAACAGATTATATTGGACGTAATTGGCAAAATAGTGATAAAAACGTCTGTTCATATATGTTTTTTTGTTGTATCAGTTATCTCACAAAGGAAACAGTAGCTAGCATTGAAAGTATACCTAATTACTACGGTAGGCACCCAAATCTTTTTAACTTAAGTTACTGCCTTTACTGATTGTGTCATGGAAGAAGGCTTCATTCACAAATAATGCTGTTTATCCCGTTAATATTCGCAAAATGACTATTGACATATAATATCTATCTATACCAACTTAATGTTTGAAGTATCATGTGAGTGTCATGTACACTTTTGAAATAATAGCGCCAACAATACCAAATAATGCTGAGTAAATAAATTACCAGTTCGTCAGATGCAATGAAGTGTAGCTAGTCTTGTTGCATCTTTCGAACTGTCGATTCCAAACCGTCAGAAGGTATACAATCAACAAATGTATTACAAAATTAACAAGGGCTCCCCGGGTCAAGAGTATCGGATCGATTGGCTTGTAGCAAGGCCCTTCGAAATCAAGATCAAATGGCGAATCAAATCGACGATTGGAATCACTTTCCACAACATAATAATGCGTTTATAACGAACACGCTTTTTACTAACTGACGGATATTACGAACTTAGTTGTTTGGTCCTTCCATTTGCTGTATAGATGTTGTATATAAGCTTACAACGAACTACGGTTATAACGAACTAAAATTAGTGGTCCAGTTGAGTTCGTTACAACCGTAGTTTACTGTACCTTCATTAGCGTGTCTGGTGGCATCGAAATGAACGTCAAGCTAATGAGCCTACCCAACTCCATATTGTGCCATGATTAAAGCAACAAACGCTTTCCACATCCAATAGAAATCTCTGCATAAAGCAGAGTCGATTTTACGATTCCGAGTATATCATGAGCAAGTGTCATGAATCACTATCACATTGTAATGATACTAGTTGTTCGCGAAAAGGTGAGTGAATGTTGCCCCGCCGGTGGTACCCGCTACAAAAACATGCAAAGGCAAGTCAATTGTTCACCTGAAAAAACACGGGAACAGATGGTACAAGTCAACATTGGGAATTGCATCTGACATCATTTTTGTCACTGATGCGTCAAAGTTGGAAATGTCCTCCACATGTCTGCCATAAACCTTTTTGAAAGCTTTATAGTGTTAGTAAATATGTAAGTAATACTGAAGAAGTTTACTGCTTAGTTTTCGGGGTTACAAGACAACTTACCTGTTTCCGTGAATTGTGTTCAATTGAGCGTCTAAAGCTTCAATGTGCAGTGTCGGTTGTCTTTCGAAAGACTTGTCCCAGGTAAGAGGTGCTCAATGAGTGGGTGTGCCGTACGGCTGTTGTATTTTGGCGTAGACATGTTTGTGGCCATGACATACAAAGACGCTCAAGGCTACAATGTTTTGCTGCATGTGAATGCCCTTACAACGTGAATTGACAGGGTGTGGAGTAAGTAAAGTAAAGGGACATATTCTCGCCCATGGGCCTACCCATGGGCCAATCTTCGCCGATGGTCAGGCCCATGGGCGACATAGTGTAAATATTGAGTTTTTGAACAATTTTCTTTTCATTGTTTCTTCCTTGGTATGTTCCCATGAAAACAGCATGTTTAATTTTGTAAATACCTTTGACCGAGAATGGGCAAAGACCGTAGAGTTTCTGGACTTTGGGGTTTCCAGAATTAAAATGGGACGTGTTTAATTAATATGAGTGAGTGAGTTGGGTTTAACGCCGCGTTGAAAAGTATTCCAGTTACATCACGGCGTGTCAGATTAATGTGGGTGGAAAGTTCGAAATGATGCAGGTCTCAGGCGTTTCCCACTTCGGTTAAACTCACGAGCACGGGTATGGTGCTGACAAACATAGAAACATAATCGTGGCGAACACGGTTGCAATCTTGTGGGCGGTGGGGTCTAAGGTACTGATGTTACATCTACAGTATTTTCACTTTGGCGACACGAACTATCATGCTGTCATAGTTGAATCAAGATTAAACAATCCCTAAAAGAAAGTGGAACACACATTTTAGGCCCCCCTCATCAAAGGGCTTCTAAATGTGCCCTGGTTGGACGTGAGTACTTGTTATCAACACTATTGCTGGAATCACTCTGCATACGCAATGAAGTTTCCAAGAAAATGTCGAAAGTGCAGTGAGACTGGAAGAAAATAGGGTGCATGAACGTCAAACGTCGTACAACATTACACATGCTACACATCAAACTTCATAATGATACTTTGACATGGCTAGTTCATTCGAGGAAATGACATTGAAT